TCAACGGGTAGAGGCCAGACGAAGCTCAGTCTCACAAACCAGCTGCTTGGGCACCCCCTGGCTTCTTTCTTCTATCCACACCCGCCCCTGGAGAGATCACTCCAGGAAGTAATCACGGCGAGAGGCAGTTTACCGGTCATATACCCCGATAGATGGACGCAGGAGCGGAGTACCTGGAGCTTCCATGATTTGCATGTTGGCGGAATACTGCCAGATTCCCCAGGCCAAGGCAGGTGAATTTTCTCGAGGAATCCACAACCGGAACCTTTGGTTAGCCAAAGTTTAACCTACAAGGCAGCGGGAAAACCGTAATCCAGTGGGGGAGGGGGGGGGGCGTTTTCCAGTTCATCGGATCATACGCCCTTCGGACGAGGTCAAACGTCCAAGGTGCCCAGTACATTTCGATTCCCAATTGAGCCGGTGACCATTACCACAACCGAAAAGGTTTAGGTGTGGTTCGTACACCTCCTCTTGGTTCTTTTGGAATCAGGGTTTTTGGCCAACTCCCCTAAGCGAATTACTAGTGTTCTACGAACGCGGTTATAGCCCCGGATGTCGGCTTTTCGTCCTCTCATTTTGGTGGGAAAGTGCATCCGCCACGAGAAACCGGTGAGCAAGGCTTCCTCAGCGCAAGCTGTTTGAGACGCTTGGTCGTGCGGGAGCACTTCGCGGGGTGCAAGGGAAGGATGACCAGCCGCAACCCTGAACACCCCCATCCGTTCATTTTTTGCTCTGGCCCGTTTTTTAAACTACGCGTGGCTTATTGGGAAATAAAACGTTTATCCATTTTGATCGCTGGTTTCATCATCCAGCGTAACTGGCATAATTCTGTCTTCTATCCATTTCGGGTTTTTTCTCCCGAATACTTTCACTGTTCACCGTAGTCTTAGTCATATTATTGCATAGCATAGCCAAAAGTACTTTGTTACAATATTATAATGCATCTTTATAACTCCTTATTTCTTTGTCTAGCAAATTGAAGGATTACTCTCCATCGGATTCTCCAAAACAGTGGGAACGTCCTATTGTTGCACCGAAACGCTCACCTAACGGGAATCATATCCTTCGTTTGCCCACGCTGGTTGTTCAGTGTTTGAGCAACCCAGGTTGGCTACACTCAAATCCTGTCCCCCCAGATACCGTGATCCTGTACCAGTTCATACGTCTACGGCACCAACTGCTAGCCTTGGAAGATTCCAGTCCGCTTGTTGGCTTTCTGAGTCCAACACCGACTTCCGAGTTGCCGAACACGAGTGCAACAGTGAAGGACGAACGAAACGAAAAGTCGATATCAACAATGACTACCAATGGTAGGTTAATCTTTTCTCGCTTATCTCTCCCCCTCCTGGTACACTTGATTGAAGTTAAGCAGTTCTCCCGTATTTAGTCATCGCATTATGACATAACTATTGACTTGCACTTTCAAACCCGGTCGCTCCAGGATTAGGTGTATGGACTGGTTAGCGATTTGATCAGTTAGGGTCTCGGTGCATGTTGCTTATTTAAATTATCACATTCGTTTTCAGGTAAAAGAATTCAGAAGCACTCGCGACTTTTTTACATATAGTCGCCTTACGTCACTTTCCAGTGTTCGAGTTCTCTTTGTGCACTGCTTATCACGACCGTTAGATCCGTCTTAAATTACGTGTTCATTGTCCTTTGCGTATTTTCTTTTCACCAGGCGAACCAATTACACATAGTACTAAGACACCGTCTCCTAATGTGCAATTTCCAACGGAAAAGGTGACAAACAGTTCTCCTGGTCATTCGCGTTCGAGCAAACGTGAGATTCATCGTAGTTTGACAGACCATCATCGAACCGGTGAATCGTCGCGTTTTGGGAGTGAATGTAGCCGTAATGTAGATGCATCTGCTGTCTCTCATTCCGTTCCACGCCCTTCGACTAAAACTGATGCGCCCAGCACATCTAAAACTGATCATAGACATACCGAAAAGTCGCACACTCGCAAAAGACGACCGCGTTCCAGCAGCATTTCATCATTAAGCTCGTTCTCATCATCTGACGTCTCTTCCACGCGTTCCGGGAACCGTTCTCAATCAACCACGAGACACTCCACTAGTGGTACACATTTAAAGACACCTCATACTCCAGCCAAACAATCTCGTGTTGTAGCAAAGACCGATTCACAAATCACTGGTCGACTGTCCACGTCAACAAGGAAGCATTCGAAACCATCTGCACGTAATACACCTCCATTGGAGACGTCCGAATCGCGAGTACCACAATCATCGCGCACAAATGAAAGCTCGAAACGCTCGTTAGATGAGGCCCCCACGCATTCTGCAAAACAGAATTCGAAGCACGCCGCACCTCTCTCCTCCCGGTCTTCGACATCCATGGTATGTTATTGATTCGCATTGTAAACTGCTTTGAAGCCACCTTATGCCACCCCATCCCGTTTTGATTTCCTGGTGTGTCATTTCATACTACATTTAAATTGAAGCATTACATTAGACATGTTGTGATTTACGACCATTCTGAGTCCGCTGCCAAGCTGAAATAAAAACATAAAAACCTTTGACTGTAATTCATCTTTCAGGTACGATAAATTGAATTCCTGTGGTTTCCGTTCACGGCAACACTATATTCGCAACCGTTGGTTTTGTACAATTTGGATCTGCATATCTCAGTCTCCATTTAACATGAATTCGACATAAGGAAGGTGAATTGATGTGCCTTGTTCGTGTCGCAGTCTGATCTAGTTAAAAGGGCCATTTCAGTGCTTTCATCTGTTCTCGAAAAAATGATATTTCGATTTTCCATTAGCTCCTTTGGTCATTCCCGGTGATGTGCGGTCAATAACTCTTTTGTCTGTGGTGTAATCCCCAAGAGTTTATAACAGGTTCTGAATAAAGTAGATTTCAGCTCTTCCACATCTAGTGTCGAATGAGGAACTAGATTTAGCTGTTGGGAATATAGGTTCTGGAACTTTACCTCAGATCCAAAACAGAGACATAACTTCAAGCAGATTTTTATCCATTCTCGCAGATGGAAGGTTTTAAGCATATTTCTCAGGTTGATTGGAAACTTTCTTGTGTATCTGTTTGTATCAATCAATTTCTGTAACGCTTGACATTTATGTTCCACCGGGTCATCTTCGATCGATTGCACAAAAGATTCTAGACGACGGCGTTCCTCGAGTGGCAACACCCGACGCATTTGAGCACTTTCGACTAAATTCCGATTCACTTCTTCAAAACTTCCTGGGATAATGTTCCTTTCACTGAAATTATCACTTGGTAGGGTAACGTTGGTGATACAAATACGGCCTCGCAAGAATACTTGTTCTCCCATAACCAATATATTTAACAGATACGGCGCCAAAATAACCATGGGTGATCGAAAAAATATAGGTACGAAAGCGGGGAAAATAAAGCAGCNGGGGGGGGGGGTAACATTTTTTGTTTACTGCACGCTATTTTGAGTTTTATTTGCGTTTTGTTTACTTTTGGGATTGCATACAGGAGAGAATGCATTCGCGCCGCTGACTTCGGTTCCATGCCATAACCTGCAGTGTTTCCAGCCAAAGACGATCTGAATCTCTGGGGCCCCCAGCCGGGGAGTCGAGAAACCCCAACGGAAGTTAGATCTCTGTACAATCTCTTTAACCCTCTGCGCCACATCATAGCCTGTCCACCTCGTTGCTTCTTCCAGCCTGGACCGATGTCTGCGAATAGTGCACGATCTGGCAGACGTTGTTCCGGCATTCGTAGGAAGTGCCCCAGCCACCTAAGACATTTTAGTGAAATTATTTTGTGCAAAGGAAGACTATCTGACCCTATCACCCGTCGTCTGACTTCATCGTTATTCACGCGATGCTCCCACCATACGCTTGCGCTGTTGCGCAGACAGCGGTTGTCAAAGACTGATAGTCGCTGGACGTGATCTGCTCGGAGACACCAGGTCTCGCAGCCATACAACAACACAGCGCGTACCGTTGCACAATACACGCAAGTGAAAGGGATATGTCGCGCCGGCGCTAGAAATGCCGCAGATTAGCAAATGCTAATCTAGCTTTGATCGCTCGTTGAGAGATCTCACCCGCACCTCCGCCAGCCGTTATGCAACTCCCAAGGTAGACGAAGCTTTCGGCTACTTCCCGAGTGTCATCCAACGAAAGTGCACGAATGGGTTCCTGCCAATCTTGCAAGAACAGTTTGCAATTTGAAGATGCAAAAGACATACCATAGCGAGTAATCTCAATTGCCAAACTGTTCAACGACCCTTGAATCTTTGGCACGTTGTCACTCAGTCAAGCAGTATCATCGGCATACTTTGAGTCTATGACTCCGTCCCCAGGAAGAAACTCGACGCCAGCGTTCGTTGCTTTCTGTAATGCGTTTTGTAGGAAATCATCTATGGCGATCGGTACAGTCGAGAGACGCTCTGATGTCTAAAAACACGACAGTGGTTTGCCGTCTGTATATCCATGGCCAACACCACACTACTGTGTGATTTCTCCTACCTACCCCTAGTGAAGCGATGCTCATGAGTAACGACCAAAGTGTGAGGAATATCTGTTTATAGAACTGGAATGTGTCATCATGTAGGTCATTCCATTTCGGTTGTGGTTTAGGGTTGCCTATTGAATTAAACATGCCGCGTAAAATGCATCTCAAACCATAATTTATCGTTTATGGGTAAGTTGCTCATTAGGTTAGATAACTTTCCTCTTCGATATCATGTCATGAAGTACTTTATTTGAGACTAAATGTGTAACGTTGGGTTGAACAAAACAACCGGACGACACGAACCGTGACCTGCGATACGTGCGGTGACCCACGAGCGGAAACGTACGACCCAGCGATATAGAAGCGATACTCGGTATGCCTGACTGCGGTACCCTAAATGAGTCGACCGAACAGTAGCGAGAAGAGCGCCTCACGAACCAGTACGATCCCCTAAACCCGACCAGGGAGAAGAAGGAAGGCAGGCATTCAGACGAGTTTGTATATTTAGCTCGAACGTAAAGGCGGCGAAAACGGGCGGCTCATGTGTTTGTATATAATTCGGGGACCGGCCATCAATGACCTTGGGAATTAGCTTGAAAGTAGTAAGTCACAGGAAAATGGACCAATGAAGGTCGAGTATGACCGGTGGTGCGGAATGAATCTTTCCTGGTGCAAAAATCCGGAAATTTAAATTTTATAAAAGTAATTGGAAAAATCAGGAAAAAATGGAAAGAAATAGTGACTTTTAGGATAAAGAATGTGGTCTACACATTAAAAGAGACAAATCTGGGATCGACAGATTTTATTAGAGTTTCGGCCGACCCAGTCGCTTATCGGCCACGCATTGCTCAAATACTATCTTATGACGTTTCTTGGCCCGAGATTGCATGCAGCTTCAATCCCATTCAGTAGGATGCAGATATTGTCTTGCAAGTGTACCACTTTCCCTCGTGGTGATGTTGTACAAACAAGATTCAGTATAACTATTATAAGGTCTACAAATGCAGTTGATATCACTGGAAGTCATCGGGGGAAGCTGATTAATTATTGTGCATCACGTGCTCCAGTGCACGAGTCACGCGATTCCGACCCATGAATTTGTCAGTCGCCAAACCCGCAGATCTGAACTAATCATCTTACTTCCAAACTGGATGATCTGTCTGCTTTCGGGAAGTTTTCAATGTTGGAGTGCGGGGTCCTATACTTTTATCACCTTATTTCAGCACTGCTGTACTTGGTTTCTTTATGAAATTTGGTATGCAGTATAACCGTGGATCCGGTCGTTACGATCAAATATGATTTCGTTAGAATGCAGATGAATTGAAAAGATTCTCATACTTGTCGCACTGTAAAATCTGTGATTTCAGGCAGAGATCAAGCATCGGGAATAATTCTCTTGATGCCGGACTCTCTTGGATCTTTGATTTTTTTTCTTTGCCTGATACTCTCTCTGTAAGTCACACCGTGAGTCGTGTGCTTCAACGAAAAAGAAATATTCGACACAAACGGTCTAAGCTTGTTACATATTCGAATAGTTGGTTTGGTATGGTACGGTATAGTTGGAATGAGCGATAGGTTTCTACCATAGAGAATCATGATGCAATTAACAGTTATTCGTGTGTACCTGACTAAAACCCTAGAGCAATTTGGGGCATGAAATAAGGAAAATAGAATAGTCTCAGTTTTGCATCCCGTGCATAATAAGGAGCCCACTCCGCACTTTCTAACCCTGCAACTTCATAGTACTGTTTCGAATAAATGAGAAAGCTGGAATGTGAATGATGCTCGGTGGAAAATGGTAATGTATCAAAGGCAGAAATAAGTTTAGTTTGACAATGTCAGGTGGTCACCATATTTTAGTTACATCAAAAAGTCAGAATTGGATAATTCGTTGTCATGTCTTGTTTACGTTCGGAAAGTCTTTACGAAATTCGATTTCCATCCAGTATATGCTCACAATTTCGGGTTTACACCTTTCATCGTTGCACCACAAATTGGGTAACGTGGATAGAAATCTTGATTTCATCTGAATTACCCTATTCTGAGCCGCATACTACCATTTGTTGCCGTGGATTCTTTTCGCCATACACCGGTTCTAACGAGGAGACTGAGTCACATAGGTCCTGTTAGGCTCCCTGTGTGGGGACCCAGAGATCATGATGACCCGTGGTAAAAACACCGAGTGATATGGCTGAGTGTCGCAAACCGTGGCGCTCGTGCATCGACTCAATATTCTAGCAAACCCAGTGTATATGGATTCTCTGTCTTCTCTTGGACTTTCCTCTTGGCATTCCAGTCTTCATTCTTCTCTTTTATCCTATTGGATGCCAAAATACAGCAATGAAAACCGGTGTACGAAAATGCGTGTTTATTGACTGCAAAAACTAAAACTGAATCTTGATTGTATTGTCAAACACTCGTTGAATATTCTAACTACGATCGCACTTATCTGAAACCTAACGAAGTTAAAACAGAGTGGTTAAATCCGTAAGCCGAACAATTTTTTGACCTATCGAGAAATCTTTCTGAAAACAGCCTTATAGGAATGAGTGGTTAGATCAGTTTAAGTGAACGTGTGGTATTTTCCCCAGTTATCCACACATGCAGCTGTAGAAAGATAACGGTTGAAATGTGATTTTTTATATGGAACTTGTACTTGTCTTTGTTGTCCAAGGCAATCAAAGCATTTATCGAATCACTTGTTTATTTCACCAGTCACCGCTCGTATTTGGAATACAAGAATGCGTTTTTCTTGATGAATGACTCTGCAATAATTTTACCTGATTGATTATTGCCAAAATCCCGAAGCTAGTGTTTGTATACCAAGTCTCCTATCACACCGGACCCATTCACATTTGTGTCGAGTACAATATTATATATATCCCCAATAAATGCGAAGA